GCTATTACCCCCTGCATTTTATACTGGGACTCCCCTTTCCAGGGCTCCACAAATATGGGGGGAAAAAATGAACTGCATACTAACGGCAGCACGATGCCTTATTGCTCTACACTGGAAACGTAAAACCCACTTGACGGATTTGGACTTTAATAGAGTCAAGGATATCCAAAGAATGGAATTTTTATCGGCTAGATTGAACAACACTATATCCCTTTATCACAAGGTGTGGGCAAATTTGTGTTCCTCCAAAGCTCATTTCATATTATATTTTGCTCCGAGTGAGGAACCAATTGAGCTTGGACTCATTGTAACACATATGCAGTTTAAATAGCCTTTACTTGGGTTAGGGTTTTAAGGGTTAACATCTTTGTGCTTCTATTTCTTTTAAATGTTAGGAGGGGTTGTGATGGGTGAGGGGTCTCGTCCATTTAGAGAAGGCTTGCCCATTGTGTGTTAACGAAGCTGATCAGATAAGCACAACCCTCAAATTTCTGTCCCAAGACTTTGTTGGAACAGACTACTGTGAAAAGGCTAAGGCCTGGTTCACACCTGTACGTTCTGTAGCGCGTTCAAAGCTCTACAAAACGCTCAAACATGAAAATCCCATTGTTTTCTATGGGTAAGGTTCACACCTTGCAGTATCTCAGCCCGTCTGAACGCACTACAAAACGGCCTACGCCTGAAAAGGTACATGAGCTTCTTTCCGGCGTTTTTGCCGCGCGTTTCCATTGGGATACAGCCAAGTAGCACTCGGAAACACGCGTCCGGCGTGCGGTTTTTTACCGCGATTCGCGGCCGAAGCGTGCGACAAACATGCATATTCGATACGCCTAGGCGTGAACAGAGCCTAAGAAAAACCTGGCATCAGCCAAAAACAAAACATCTAAAAAGGTGAGTTTTTTAAAAAGTTTTTTTTAATCAATATGCTGTGTGTATAGGAACACATAACGAACATATGGAGGAGTTTACCTAAATTTGACTACAAAAAGGTGGAAATAACCTTTAACCACTTGAAGACCGGGGTGTTTCACCCCCTTCCTGGCCAGGCCATTTTTCAGTATTCAGCGCTGCGGTACTTTGACGTTTATTCCGTCATGCAACGCTGTACTGATACGAATTTCATACCATTTTTTGGGGACACATAGAGCTTTCTTTTGGTGGTATTTAATCACCACTGGGGTTTTTATTTTTTACTATACAACAAAAAAATTACCCTAAATTTTGAAAAAAAAAAAACAGGTTTCCCTATAAAATGTTATGAAACATTTATTTTCACCCCAATTTTTTGGTATAATATAAAAGACGGGGTCACGTCGGGTAAATAGACACTAAACATGTCAACCTTTAAAAATGCACGCGCCCGCAAAATCGCAGAAAACAACTGCAACCAAAATTGGCCATAGGCGACTCTTAAAACGTTTTTACCGCTCATCAGTTTAGTGTTATCACATCGGATCACGGACCGGCAACGAGGAGACGGCGGGACATAGGTACAAGGGGGGGAGGGAGGCCGCACACCCGCAGCTCCTGCAAGCGATCGGGCGTCTCTAGAGACGCCTGATCGCTTGTATGTAAACAGCCATCGCTGGCTGTTTACATGCTCACAGTTTCCCCTCTCGTGCGCGCCGAGTGCCGCACACGAGAGGGGGGAGGGGCAGGACGTCTTAAGACGCCCTCCCGCTCCTAGCAGACTCCCGTCCGGCCGTTCACAAACGGCCATGGACGGAAGGTGGTTAAAGTCTGGACTCCGTGGTGACCAATCCATGTTTGAACACAATGTATCATGCTCCCTGAACCACTCTTTCACAATTTAAACCCGATGAATCCTGGCATTGTCATTTTTGAATATGCCCATGCCATAAGGGAAGAAAAAAACCCATTGATGGAAAAACCTGGCCATTCAGTATATTAACCCCTTCGTGACTGATGACGTACAGCACCTAACATTGCTGAACCAAGACCTGACCAACTTAACCAATCCTAGATCATAAAAGTAAACCCAGTTGGTGACTTTTTTTTCCCAACCAGTATGTTGTTTATTAACTCAATACCGTTTTATATTTTATATTCAGTAGGAACTGTGTACCTTATGTTCTGTTTGTGTGCACTAATACTGATTTTAGTGTATTTTGTATTTTTTTTAAAAAGTTAGTTGTCAGACCTGAGCGGGCGACAATTGTATTCCAATGTAGGTTTGCCATTTACGTTATTTTTATTTTTTTTGTATGGCTGCTGGGTTTGTTTATGTTGCATCATTCACGGCCGTGTGGCCTGTCATTTTAGGTTCTTTGTACCTTGCCCTTTTGTTCATAAATAAAGAATTTGAAAAAAAAATAGTTTGATAAACATTTGTGTAGCACGAGGCCTACAAAATCAGTAGCACCATGTTTTTATTCTACGGTTCCTCTGCTTTCAGAACATGCATGGTTTTGGAGGTATTTTACAAAGTCTGAAAGCCCTAATTAAAAAAAAAAAAAATGGTCTGGCCTGCTG